ATTTTTTATTGGTTTTACTATGATTGGCTATTTGTGGGCATGTTTTGAATTTTTTTCATTATCCGCCCAAAGGCCGCCTGTAGGGGGACGCGCCCGACTTCAGGCTGGGGTTCACAGATGAGCCCCATAGGTCTTTGCGCGAGACGGGGCCGCGCCTCGGAGGAGAGGGCGCCGTTGCCCCATGGCCCTGCGGCACCTGAAAGGCCTTCACTCACCCTGCGGTTGTCGATGGGCCTGCTTTCCACCACCGCCACCGCAAGTTGGAGGGGGGGGCCCTCCTCCTCCTCCTCCTCCTCCTCCTCCTCCTCCTCCTCCTCCTTCTCCTCCTCCTTCCCCCCTCCAACTTATGATGGTGGTGGTGGTGGTGGTGGAAAGCAGGCCCATCAGCTGTCGTGTAAGATGCCGCTGGCCACTTGGGCCGGCCAGGCCGCGGTTCACCGTGCGAGCTCGCCTGGTGCGAGGGTCTATCGCTGTCACGCCCTCCGCGCTGCAGTGGGTTTTGATAGTCGCGCGGTCAAAGAGCAAGAAGAAGGACGGCCCTGGCCAGGCACGGCGGTGGTGTTGGGGGGCCACATGCGAACCCTACCCCTGCCCCTCACGATTTCTGAGGGGGAGAATGGGGTTCACTTCGTTCGGGAGCTCCCGAACGAAGTGAACCCCACCCTCCCCTTCCGAAATCGTGGGGGGTAGGGGTAGGGGTAGGGTCAAGCTAGCCAGCTCGAGCGAGTCAAGCATGGCATGCCCATTCCCACCCGCCCTCCCACAACATAGGAAACAGTGATGGCACAACTGGGGGCTGCGCGGGCATTTCAGTGCGAGTGGAGGATACCCCATGACACCGCATTGACGTCCGCGCGGGATGTGCGCCGCGTCCCATTCCCGCCACGCATTCCGCATCGTCGACGACAAGACTGGCCATGTTGAAAGGAACAACGGACACGTTCCGCCCTCCCACAACATAAGATATATTGATGGCGCAACTGGATGCTGGCGCGTAGTGGTAGTAGTAGTAGTAGTAGTAGTAGTAGTAGTAGTAGTAGTAGTAGTAGTAGTAGTAGTAGTAGTAGTAGTAGTAGTAGTAGTAGTAGTAGTAGTAGTAGTAGTAGTAGTAGTAGTAGTAGTAGTAGTAGTAGTAGTAGTAGTAGTAGTAGTAGTAGTAGTAGTAGTAGTAGTAGTAGTAGTAAGTAGTAGTAAGTAGTAGTACGTAGTAGTACGTAGTAGTAAGTAGTAGTAGTAGTAGTAGTAGTAGTAGTA